TATATATATATATATAAATGTCACGTGCATTAAGTGCTACTGGTACTTGACTATATTATTATTACGGCAATAAATTAATAAGTATCAAACTAATTCAAAAGATAAGAATATATTCAAATGAAAACTTTTTTCAAATAAATGATATAAATTGCACCTAAATGCAATTTCTGCAGTTATAGTGCTTTAGCATTGTTGAGAAAGTGCTTAAACAAGGTAAGAAATTTTATATTAAAAATGTTTTTCTGATTGTCATAAAATTTAATATAAGTTTCAAAGTAGTTTTAACATGGTTTAATAGTGAAAAAATTAATATTTTAAATTAATTCTATATGTTATAAATATTAAGTCATCTAATTTGTTAAAACTTTATATGTATGCAGAAATTTAATGGATATAGTATCAAGAATGTAAATTGAGACAAACATATTTTTGTTATCATACATACTTTTAATTACATTATTAATTATATTTGCAAACTTATTTGCAAAAATATTAATAAAGTCGAGTCGCAAAGATGAGTATTTTTAAGTAAATGGTATTTCCTTAATAGAGTGTAATTATATGCAATAACATTTTTAGACAAAAAAAAACAATTTTAGTAAAGTAGTAACTATAAATATTCATTTATTATTAGTATATCTAGAAGATTATTTGATATTTAGTTGTTTTAAAAATTATTGGTTTTGAAAAAAAGTGAAATCTAATATTATTTAAAACTAAAAGTAAGTACTAATATTTTTTTCAGAAGCATTTCATCTGTCGATCATAATCTAGTCCAGGTGGAAAAATGAAAATCGTTCTCTTAACAATTGGCTTTTTGGTCGCGGTCGTGTCTTCAAACACGATCTCATTGGATGAAAGTTTTGAGTCAAGTTAGTATGAAGTAATTTTAAGAATTGGATCTCAACATTTTAAACTAGAACTTAAGTAATTAAAAAATATTCACAAATCCTTAAAAATATCAACTATTCAATCATGATCAATATGCACAGCGAAAAACATATCGCTCTCAGATTTCATTTATAACAAAGATTTTATAAATTAATCAGAAAAAATAATAATTCATGCATTCAATATAAAATAATTAATTATGTTTTACTTTAATAGGTTTTAATGATTTAAAATCACTCGAGAGCAGAGGGGCATTAGAAAATAAACTATTAGCAGCTGCTGAAGATCTGAGAAAAACTTTAAGAAAAGGTGGTAATTTGACTAATGGCGAAATTATGGACCCATGGTTCCTTGAAAATGTTGATGCTGACATTGAACTACCAAACATTGCCAAGTAAGATAAAAAAATATATTTCAAATCTTAAGATCCTTTATATATTATTTTTTTCTTTTAGGCTAAACGGAGCTCTTGCCAACGTAACAGTTGATGGTTTATCTAGTTTCAATATAAATCACATAAAAGTGAATGTGCTCTTCATGAAAGCTACTTTCAATATCACTTTTGACCATCTCATGGCAAAGGGTAATATTATTATAATATTCAAATAATATATATATATATATATATATATATATTCGTAAAGTTTATTATATTTATTTAATATGATAAACTTGGTTCGTCAAACACATCCTCTTTTGAAATGAAACAAAAACAAGACAATAATAACAGATTCGTAACTGACTAGTAATCTAAAGTACTTTGAAAAATAAATTGAACACTTAGGACAATTTTTCTAAATTCATCATAAATAATAATTTAAAATAATTATCCACACATATTTAAAAAAAACTTGTACAAATCAAAGGCTATCAGAAAGATCTAGATAGAAAGATTCCATATTACAGTATTGATATGTGTACTCTTGACTCAAGGTGTACAATTTTTTAATTTTTCTGCAAGATATTCAATCTTCAGATAAATTTCATATATTGCATAGTAGGCTAATTAACTATTTTAATTCGCTGTAGAACATGTATCTCATACGAATTGAATTTTCAGCATATATTAATTGTGTTTAATTGTGTGCGAAAATAAATTAAAATCTATCTGTAGTAAAAATGAATCATGTAGAAGAATTTGGAATACATATTCTATTTACTAATTGATTACATCGCGATGAGTAACAATTCTATCAAATATCAAATAATTTAATTTACTAATTACATAGCTTAGTCTCATGTTTCCTATTGATTGTTTTTTAGGTCTATACGACATTGAAGGCAAGTTGGCAGATTTGGCTAAGTTGTTTGGCAAAGGCTCCTTTGATATCATGTTACGTGATATAAACGCTGCTGGACATGTCAAACTATGGTTGAAAGGTTTATCCACCCTTGAAATATCCGAATTCAATCTGGTGCCTTCTATAGGAAGCATGAAGGTGGGTCAGGCATATTCGTAAATTAGATCCTTTTGTTACTTGCCGAGAAAATGTTTGAATAAGACGTTTGATCCTCATATTCTCTTAATAATATTTATCGGCATAATCAAGTTTTTCATATATAGGTAATGTTTATAATTATATACAACTATTCATATTGATAACATATTTCAGTTCGATGTGGAAGGATTGATGGGAAATCCAGTTCTTGGTGACATGATAAACGCACTTATAAATGATGCCTTGCCACAAGTAGTTGAGAAACATAAAGTCGAACTTTCGAAAGAAATCGAAAAACTTGCAAAAGGTCTGATAAATCCGTTTTTGGCAGATATGAGCCTCCAGGATTTATTAAATTTGCTCGGAGGAGGATTTTAAAAACGACGTAATTTGACATATGGCTCAAGATAATTTAGATGTCTTCATATTGGAGATTTACTTAACTTTTTAAATTGGACTTTGATTTGATTCTGTGATAGTTATCGCTATAATAAAATTAGCTTCAAATTTATATTGAATTTGATTACGATCTTATCTTTCTGCAGAGAAATATTAATTATTTTGCATAAATATAATTCATAAGTTATCAAGAATTACATAGCCAATATTATATATTTGGTGTAAGAGGTTTCTAGAGCTTTACAAAATAAATTTGTTATGCAATGTGGAATCAGAAAATATAAAAAAATATAAATAATATTTTTGAAATATATATAATAAAAATAATTTTTTTTTAAAAAATATTGTCAAATTATATGTACATTTTCTGCAATATAATTTTGTGTTATTTCTAAAGCACAGTTCAATAATACTAATTAATACAAATGACCATATTTGTACATTAGGGTGGTCCTTAATATGGACATTTTCGAATTTCCTTGCTCCCAAATGCTCAATTGGTTCCAAATTGATAAAAGCAATTCTCTGAAAGTTTTAGCTCTTAATATTAACTTTTAAATAGTGCGCAATTTAATCAAACTTTGTATGAAAAAAAATTTGAAAATTAAAAAAAAAAAATTTTATGTATAACTTAGCGACAATTTTTTTGCTAAATTATATCTAAAGACATTTTTAAAATTTTTGAAAAATTTTTCATGCTATTTCCATACAAAACTTTGATTGAATTGCGCACTATCTAAAAAAACAATATTAAGAGCTAAAACTTTAAGAGAATTGTTTTTTATCATTTTGGAACCATTTGAGCCTTTGGGAGCAAGAAAATTCGAGAATGTCCATATTAAGGACCACCCTATTGTACATAGTAATAATTTCCAACTATTTATCATTTTGTACCTATCATTTATCATTTTGTTAGTAATGGAAATTTTATCAACTATATAATTTGTTTATTCACTATTCGGAAAGTACCACATATTTGCCTCTGGCTGAATAATATTTATTACAAGGAAAATTTGCTAAGATTTGTAAAAATATCTATTCAATAAACACTTCAATTGTCAGTATTCAGTATTATTATTTCTACTTATCGCAATAGCAAAATTAAATTCGTCCACCTGGCTTCAAAATGCGTATCTGAATATCGAGTGTTGCACACGTCAAACTCTATTTATCTATTTTATCAGTTTTGGTCATCACCTGATAGAAGTAAAACAATGAAAGGTAACCTTTGTGTTACAAGTAGGGTTGAGATAAAATTTGACATTGGCCGAAAATATTTTCTGATCTCATCGACATGTCTTGTGTTATGGTTTTGATAATTTTTCTCATCATCATTATTAATAATTTTTTTTATCGATAATAAAATATTAATAACAAAAATAAAGGTAAACTAGAACCCTGTATGTAGTCTTGAAAATGTAGTACAAATTGTGGTTTTCGTACAAATGGAGATTATTTTATGTATTGAATGAGCATTTATTTATAATTTATTTATATGCTTAAAGGTGTTAAATGTGGATTAATTTTTTTAAAAATAAAAACTGATTTTAATTGACTTTAATCTATTATGAAAAAGCACTTAGAATGTATAAAGTACATAAATTGTGCTGCATCTGCATTGGCATTCGATGCGTACAGATTATTTGCATATAATTATTTAAGGGGTTAGGGGTACTTGGAGGCACGAAAGAATGAGAATTTTCAGTATTTTTTGTTTGTTATTAAACGATATTTTTTTACAAAAATATTGATACGGTATTATTATACAATGTTTTAACTTGAAGTAACAAAAATTTCAGAAAAAAAATTAAATATTCTCAAAGTTGTAGCTGTTCTTGTTGACCCTGTTTCAAAAAACGGTTTTGGCGGTGACCATCATAACTCCTTAGAGATTCATCTAAAATCAATCAAATAAAAAAAATAGTTTTATAAATAGATAATTCTGGGCCTGATCGAAAGTTTTCTTCTTTTTTGCGTATTTTTTAAGTATTATTTATCAAATGCAATGCAACTTCCTAATTTTACGTTATTAATTCTCTCGGTAAACTATTATGCAATACGATAACCAATTGATAAAAAAAATTTACAAATTATCATAAATCTGTTGATACAATAAGAAATACAAAGCTATCTATGATGGCATTATTAGTATTTTAAGAAAGACTTTATCTGAATCAATCATTTTTAATCCATTTTATTTTTAATCCTTTATCTGATAATCCGTAATTTTATCTTATTCGTCACAATTATAAGTTTTTCAGGTACTTATAAAGAGCTTGGAAGATGCAAAAGATCCATATACTTTTAGTGATCCAAAGAGTGTAAACAAAATCAGGTGAGATGAGAATTTGGACCCAGAAATATTAAATACAAATTTACTTAATGCTAAATCATATTAACGACAGTTTATAAAAAATTAAAGAACGTTAACCTTTTACAAATTTATCAAGTTTTTAATAAAAATTAATCAATATTTGTATTCTATATATACTATTATTCACTAGCAAGAATATTACTAAAAGGCATCCCAATAGTTGTTCTATTCTAGTTTGTGACATAATTTTTTATTACAAGTAAATCCCAGGGCAATATTTTCATCTAGTTGTGATAATATTTTAACGTTGTGCCCGAAAGTAAAATTATTTGAAAATAAAATTAATTTGATTATTGATACAATTTTTTTTTAGAAAATGAAAACCGCAGTGTTTCTCCTCGGCTTCTTAGCTGTATTCGCAGCAGCCTATCAGGATCATAAAATCGATGCATGTAAGTGTAACTTTATTTATAATTTGAAATAATATTACTAAATTTATGTGGAATTTCCTATTAAACTGATATATTATGAATTATAAATGTTATTAACAGTAATAAACCCGAAATTAAATAAAAGAAAGAAGAATTTACAGTATCTACTATCTTCTACGTATTACTGCGATAAGTCTTTGATGCAAATATCTTGAATTTTTTTGTAAAATTATTACTTTTCAAGTTATCAAAGTATTTAATGTTAAGCGAGTAGTTGCATTAAGAATTATGACTGTGTAACCAGTATTGAAAAAAAAGGGGAAAAACAAACAAGCAAGCTATTGTACCCAATAGCCTTTTTATTTTTTTATATATTGACTAGAAAATAATAATTCTATTATATTTTAGTGGTAAAATACACAAAATTGCGAGGTCTTAATAGAGGAGCCCTCGAAGATCAAGTATTTGCTCTCGTCGATTGTCTTCGCAAAATCTTACGCGAAGGTGGAGAACTCACCGGAGGAAAAATTTTGGATCCTTTGGATTCCGAGCATGTGGATGTTAATGTCACAATCCCAGAACAACTTAGGTAAGTTAAAACTCAATCAATAATAGAAAAATTTGGTAATTTAATTTTGAGCAGTTAATTTAGGTAGAATATAAAAACATTTTTATTAGCCAAATGATTGCAATTGTTTTTTAAATAAGGTAAAATTAAAATAAATACGTTAATGCCACTCATATGTGTCTGACACTAAGAAGTTCTCTACATAGACCATGTCAGATAAATATTTCTGACATACGTGATTTAAAGCTAATAGAAGTTTTAATATAGAGCCATGTAAGTCTATATGTGTGTGTGTTACATAAAAAATAGTGCTTTCCAGAAATTTTGGTAAAAAAAATTTCTTTGATACATTTTTAACTAATTTATCTAATAAAGTTGCTGTGGTCATTATGAAAAATGTTCTAAATATTAATGTGTCGATTAACGTATTAATGTACATTTTAGAATAAAAATAATATATTTGATGTTAAACCATATGTGTGAGTGTTTAACATAAAAAATAGTGCTTTTCAGAAATTTTAGTAAAAAAAATTTCTTTCATACATCAAGTTTCTTTGATACATTTTTAACTAATTTATCTAATAATGTAGCCGTGGCCATCGTGATTTTTTTTAATATTAATGTGTCGATTAACGTGTTAATAATACATTTTAGAATTAAAATGATGTTTTTGATGTTAAACCATTTTTTCAGTGTTGAAGGCGCCCTTGACAACCTACATGTAGATGGACTTTCAAGCTTCAATCTCACAAGCTTGAAAATTAACATTATTTTAATGAAAGTAGATTACAGTCTCACCATCGATCACATTAAAGCTAAAGGTTAGTAAATTATATTAAATATATATTCATTACGTATAATTTGTAAGTGGAATATTTAAGGTGTAATTTTGATAATGCGTATAAACTATTTCTCATCAAAATAAAACGATTGCACAAAAGATGCATGAACGTACTACATACTAACAAGGAAACCCTCAAGTTTACTCTTCTGGGATTTTGATGAAACTTCGCATGGTGATAGAGTTGATAGTCAAACCAAACCCCATAAAATATTATAGGCCTATGAGCAGTGGTTTAGACTATAATACTTTATGCGGTTTGGTTTGACTGTCAACTTATCACCATGAGAAGTTTCATCAAACTCCTAGAAGATTTACCCTCTCAGGAATAGATTAGACAATGTATAACAAAGTTGCTTCTAGTAATTATAGACAAATATATTATTTTCATACATTTTTATGGCATATTTGTTCAAAACGGAGTATTATGACTAATTAAGGTATTAGACATTCATTTATATATTATGTTTTTTTTATTATTTTTTTAGGTTTGTACGACCTCATTGCAAACTTGGTTGCAGCTGACCCATTATTCGGAAAAGGACCTTTCGATATTCAATTAAACCAAATCACAGCATCCGGACATATCAAATTGCGTTTGAAAAATCTTACATACGTTGAATTAGCAGAATTAAAACTTTTGCTCACTGTTGGAGATATGAAGGTAAACATAAAGTTATTTATGTAGTAGCTTCAACTATAAAGTTTGCGGATCTCTTATATTTCCTAAATTTTATATTTTAGTTCGCTATCGATGGAATAATGAACGACCCAGAACTCACAAGTGAAATCAACGCTTTCTTAAACGAAACTTTACCAGAATTGATCAAAGAAAACCAAGAATTAATTTCCAATACCGTAGACTCAGCTGCAAAGGATCTTATCAATCCAATTTTGAGCCAATTCACTCTTCAAGAAATTTTGGACATGATCGGTGGAGCTGGAGGTGAGGGCGGACTCGAATGCTAATTTAAATAACAAATAAAAAATTATTAAATTTTCAATTAATAATTTATGATCAGCTACTATGTATCTATTTTTATTGACTGCAATAAATATTTTATAATATATACATATGCTTTTTGTGTTAAATAATTTATTACGATTCAATTGCTTCTTCTGATTTTTTAATTAGAATATTTTTTAAGCCTATTAATTTTTTTCTAAATTAAAAATCTTTCAATATGATGTATTAATAATTTGAATTAATATATTTGAATACTTCTTTAAAAAATTAGTAGATGTAACGTATATTTGGTAAGATTGCAATATCATACAATTTGTCACTAGTCATCTTAAGAGAATATAAAAATATTGAAGTCATTGAAGGAGAAAAACTAACTTCAATGCATAAAAATAAATATTAAATTTTTAACATATATTAAAATGCATTTTATTTTCAATTTCAGTTATTTAAACTTACAACTAAGAAATGCTCATCGTCTTTGTATCACAAATCTATTTTAAAACAACATTCATGTATGTTTAATTTAACATAACTTCTTATTTTCATGGTGAAATTTTTTATTCAATTTCTAATAATATTTCATAACTTTTCTCAATTATTAAAAATAAACAGTTTAAGGAATATTAGGTAATTTGACCAATATATCAATTACAACAAGGCACTATATTTTAGCATTAATGACTATAATTTAGTCTTTTATTTTGGTTTCAACAATATTAAATAGGAAATCTGTCAATAATCGTAAACGTGATGATAATAAATTAAAATAATAAATTAAAAATTGCAAAACATTCTTTCAATCTCGTTTACGCAAACTCGTACAAAATTCTAACTTATCTTAGGACGAAATTTAATTTTTGATTTGTAAATAATGCTATCGTTCAATTATCATAAATCTGGAATTCGATTACTTAAATTGCCATAGTAAAAAACTGTTATCTTCAATGATTTTATTTATTATTTTTGATACGATACAGAATATTTTATCTCAGTAATCTAAATCATTGTTATAAAAACTTATAAATTGATGGGAAATATCAGATGTTCGGTTAGTGGGTTGATAAGTGTATTTGAATCAAGGTGAGTAATTAATGAGAAAATTAATTATATATATATAATTTTAAAATTTTTTCATCAATATTATTATTTTATAATGCCATAGTCTTATTATTTTTTTAATGGATATTTAAACCAATCATCAAATTAGTACTTAGACTTTTAAAAATCAGTGCATTCATTTTATAACAAGTTGGTCCACGTGATAAAGAAGCAGCCATTTACAAATTAATAAAATAAATTTTGATGTAATATTACTATTACTTGTATTTAAAGTTGTGTTTAAAGATAAACATTATAAAATATTATTCATAAATTATGTATCAGTAATATTTTTCATAAAGAAAATGAAATTGGCAATCATCATTCTCGGCTTCTTAGCCGTAGCTGCTTCAGCTGGACGAGTTTCTTTAAATCGCGATGTCAGTTCTTGTAAGTATTATGGATTGTTTAAATTAAAATTATTTTGAAAAAATATATAGTTCAATATATGTATTTTATTATTTTTTATTAGTGGTAGCTTATTCAAAACTTCGTGGTCTTCAAAGAGGAGCACTTGAAGACAAAATTTTAGCTATTGTGGAATGCTTGCGAAAAATTTTGAGAGAAGGCGGTGAGCTGACCGGAGGAAAAGTTTTGGACCCTTTGGACGCTGAGCATTTGGACACCAATTTTGAAATTCCAGATCTTGCAACGTAGGTTATATATTCTACCTATATTTTATTTTAATTTGCATTTTCATATTAAAAATATCAAATATTTAAAACTTTAATAAAATGTAAAATACTGACCCTAAAATTTATTTCTTTACGCATGCTAGTATATCGATTATCATCAATAAAAAAAGATATGCTATTTATCATAAGATAATATTGATTGCCATACTAATTGCTATAATTAAGAAACATATTTCTTTCTTTTATGAACACTTAATGATGATTTATGCTTCCGTAGCATTCACCAGAAATAGCTATTTTTATTCGAGCACACAGGTTTATACAGGTGTTAAAACACACATACACACAGTTGTGTGTATGTGTATGGTGTGTTTTTGTACATATATATACGACATATAAAGTAGTTAGTTGACTTCAAATTCAAATTAACCATTTTCCTGAAACAATATTTTATGTTAACTCAGGTCTCAGAGTATGTTACTTTTATTTGTATTATATAAACAATTTATTTATTTTAGCAATAAAATTAAATTTTCACTTATGTCGTTAAAACTAATATTTTTTACAGCGTAAATGGAGGTCTTGACAATTTGCATTTTCTGGATTATCAAGCTTCAACTTTACTTCCCTTAAATTAAATTTGGTTTTGCTGAAGGTTGACTACAATGTAACAATTGAACAAATCAAAGCCACAGGTACCAAAAATTTTCAGAAATCTAATATTCATTAACATTTTATATTTATATTCATAAAATTTAATTTTTTGTCAATAGGTCTGTATGATATTGTTGGAAAATTAGTCAATCTCGTACCAATTAGTGGTAAAGGAACCTTCGATGTCCAATTAGACCAGATCACAGCTGCAGGTCATATTAAATTACGTTTGAAAGATCTTACATATCTGGAATTAGCTGAAGTGAAACTTTTGCTTTCTGTTGGAGCAATGAACGTAAATATTAGAACATTTTTCTAACAAATTATTTTACCAAAAATAGTTTTTTCTAAATATTGAATATCTATTTTTAGTTCCAAATCGATGGTTTAATGAACAACCCAGACCTCAGCGAAATGATCAACGCAATTTTGAATGACGTTCTCCCTGATTTATTAGTTGAAAATCAACAAAATATTTCCACTGGTGTAGATACTATTGCCAAACAAATCTTAAACCCAGTTTTAAGTAAATTGACATTGCAAGATATTTTGGACATGATTGGAGGAGGTGGCGGAGAAGGTGGACTTGTGTGCTAATTTCTGAAAATACATTACTCTTATTTAAAGTTAACGCATATATTATAATATGTAGTTACACTTAACGTCCAAGAATTGTAATCATAAGAAAATAATAAATAATCGAATAATTTTTATAAAAAA